TGTTTCGAGAAATTGTATTAATAAAAGGACATCTGATATCGATCGTATTGTTACGAAAATGTATAAAGTAAAATAAAATTTTCCAATTCATTGTGAAGATGGATTTTCGTAAAATCGATATATTTATACAGCCTTCTAAACAATTGTTAATATTTCTAATACTCAGAATTTCTAATACTCAAAAATAATTCTAATACTTAGGAAAATGCTCAAAAGTCCAATATATTTAAATAATCGTAATTCAGTCCTCTTTGACTAAGAGTACGTGTAATTAAATCTACTTACGTTAATTAATTATACCTGCTTGTAATTACATCATCGACTAATTTCAAACATTACTATTCTTCGCCTTTTCATCCGCAAATATGCAAATTACGGATATTATTAAATTCCTAATTTACAAGTTTATAAAACGTTCAAAACTTTTTTCTTTTCGTTTCAAATATTCGAAAATCAATCCTCTTTGGCTGAGAGTACGTATAATTAAATCTACTTACGTTAATTACACCTGCTTGTAATTACATCATCGACTAATTTCAAACATTACTATTCTTCGTCTTTTCATCCGCAAATACGCAAATTTCGGATACTATTAAATTCCAGATCCATAAGTTCGTTAAACGTTTCAAACATTTGATGTTCAGTCCTCTTTGACTGATACTACCTGCATCCACTTGCAATTAAAATCACCGACTAATTTCAAACATCGTTATTCTTCGTTTCTTGTCCGCGAATACGCAAATTTCGGATCGCTATCAGATTCCGAATTCCAGCGGAGGATAACTGGCGATCTTCGGTTGAAATCGCCACTCCAATGGAAGCTCAATCGGTCGGATCAAAGCGCGCCAAACGATATTCTATAAAGTGGCGGGTAACGCGATATACAGGTTCGTTTTACCGCGATGTCTGTCGGTATCGCTTTTTCCCATCGTCGATCCCCGCCGCCGATATCCACGAACTGATAAACTTCGACTTTTCATTACTCACGTTCGCACGTTGCACGCTCGATGCCCGCTCTCAGATAAAACGATTTACGAAAACGTCGAAGGGGGTGACCTTGGAAGTTGCAGGAGGTTGCACACCGTGAACGTTGTAAACGGCCAACGCGAAGTTTTTCTTCGCTGTTCTCGTCATCGATTTATTTTAAATATCGCGCGGCGACGAGCGTCAGGGAAATTCAATGGAGATGCTCGAACTGTTTGTCATCGAAAGGAATCTGTAATAACTAAGAAGTAATTTCGAGTTTAAAATTAATCTGTTTTCTAATTCCGCTTAAGAACGTATCTATTCATCTATCAGATTATAGGAATTGATTTATTATTACGTGGAGAGGTCAGGAGGCAATCAACGCAAGCCACTTCTTATTAGAAATTAATTTACATTTAAGCGATGCAAATCTCGTGTAAATATTTTGCTGTTAGCCGACGGAACAATTTCATCATTATAATACAGTTATTGTAACATAATTATATTGGATTTATTAGAACTGAACTGTTCCACCAACTGAAGTTTCTACTTTTCGTGAGAAAGATATGTTTTTTACGGTGCAAGTTGTTTTCAATGGAAATCTTTTCAATCCTCCACCGTGTAATTTACAACATCCATGTACAATACGATAATGCTTACAATTATAAAATTCAGATATTTAACTTGTAATTATAAAGCTAATACCTATACCTATAATTATAAAATTCAAATATTTGACGAGCTTCTTCTTAAGACAAACGACGAACTGGAAGAAAGGTCTAAACGAGCTAAATTAAAATGTTCATTGTAAATGAATTAAAACAGTAGTTAGAGTTATTTAATACAAATATATGTTTCGCAACATCTCGCAAATCTTTTATCCCGTATGTAACTTACATTTTCAGATTGTTTCTAATATAATCGTCGCCGATGAAACTTAATGAAACTTGCGCTGGCGGACCGATTGCGGACCATAACGAGTGACCGAACCATATACAATTATTCGTCGCTTTCTTTTTCTTTTGAACTCGTCGATGCGATATCGACTGGATAGAAATTATCGAGAAGTAATAAATTTATCAACTGTTTTGCCTGGGTTATACTCAAATATACTTAAAACTGAGAAAATGTTGCAATTTTGGAACAAAAAATTCTCGAGGTGCGTGGCACGTCATTCAAGCGCAAGAGGTTAAATTGCGCTGGGCAACTGATTGCGGACCATAACGAGTGACCGAACCGTATACAGTTATTCGTCGCTTTCTTTTTCTTTTAAACTCGTCGGTATCATTGGATAGAAATTATCGAGAAGTAATAAATTTATTATTTGTTATTTACTTGAATATACTTAAGACAGAGAAAAAAAATTATTATTTACTTGAATATACTTAAGACAGAGAAAATATTACAATTTTGGAGCAGAAAATTCTCATTTCAGCGCAAGATGTTAAAAACGTTCGATAGGACACACACTGTGAACGTTGTTGATAGCTCAGAGTGCAGAGTAAACGTTCGAACACTTTCACGAATATGCTTCGAACCTTGAAAAGTGTTGAAAAATTACAAAGAAAAAAAAAAAAACGAAAAAAAGGCGACGTCGATCGGAGGAAAAATGCAAAATTAACGGAATCGGTGTCGAGAACACGGCTCGGTATGCCGGTTAACGGAAAGCCGATCTTTCGTAACACGATTCGGAGTAGCAGTAATTGGCAGTTGGTGGCTGCAAGTCACGTTTCCGTCGGAGCGACGATACTCCAGACGATCCACGAACGGAAGCGGCGTCGTTCTCGCGGCACGTGTTGCAGCTGGGATCCTCCGCTCGCTCGCTCGTTGAGGAACAAGAGGAACTCGACGCGAGTCGAACAGAGGAGAGAGAAACAGGAGCGAAATATATATCCGAACGGGTGCAACGAGACGTTGATGCTCGTTCGTGCGAACGCATGCATCGTGTAGTGTGTACACCCGTGGGCTTAGCGTGGGCCCGAGACCTTGTCTATTTATAAAGTATACAGCCGTATATGCACGCACGTGACGGCATAACACGCCGCGATTCCAGCGCGATGCCGGCCAGGTAGCGTGGAAAATCGAACCGCCGGCTATCGATAGGTGACTTGGTAATTTCAAACCGTCCCGCAAGGCTGTTACTCTAATACCGAGCACCTACGTTCAGGTGCACGGTACGGCGCGTTGTTTGCACGCGTTTGTGAGAGAATAACGTTTCTTGTTAGTTCGGCGATTTGAATTCGAACGTGATGACTCGGGGATTCAGAGACTCGAATATTCAGACGCTCATAGATTCAGAAGCTTTGAGGCTTAGAGACTCAAAGATTCAAAGATTCGGACACTCGGAGACTCGAGAGATTCGAGTATTTGAATATTTTCGACAAGATTCGAAAATTTGAGGATTCAGAGATTCGGGTATCTAAATATTCAGAGATCTAAAGATTCGAAAACTCGAAAATTTGCAGATTCAGATAGTAGAGTATCTGAATATTCAGCGATCCGAAATATTCAAAGATTCTGAATATTCAAAGATTCGAAAACTCGGAAATTTGAGGATCCAGAGACTCGAGTATCTGAATATTTGGAGATCCAAAGAGTCGAAGATTCAAAAATTCAAAGATTCGAACACTCGGAGACTCGAGAGATTCGAGTATTTGAATATTTTCGAGAAGATTCGAAAATTTGAGGATTCAGAGATTGGGGTGTCTAAATATTCAGAGATCTAAAGATTCGAAAACTTGAAAATTTGCAGATTCAGATAGTCGAGTATCTGAATGTTCAGCGATCCAAAGATTCGAAAACTCGAAAATTTGAGGATCCAGAGACTCGAGTATCTGAATATTCGGAGATCCAAAGAGTCGAAGATTCAAAAATTCAAAGATTCGAACACTCGGAGACTCGAGAGATTCGAATATTTGAATATTTTCAACATGATTCGAAAATTTGAGGATTCAGAGATTCGGGTATCTAAATATTCAGAGATCTAAAGATTCGAAAACTCAAAAATTTGCAGATTCAGAGAGTCGAGTATCTGAACATTCAGCGATCCAAAAATTCGAAAACTTGAAAATTTGAGGATCCAGAGACTCGAGTATCTGAATATTCGGAGATCCAAAGATTCGAAGACTCAAAAATTTAAAGATTCAGAGATTTAGAAACTCAAACAATTCAAACATTTCAATATCCAAATATTCGAAGGCTCGAAAATTTGAAGATTCAGAGACTCGAGTATCCGAATATTCAAAGATCCAAAGATTCAAAAACTCGAAAATTCAGAGATTTACACAGTTGGAGACTCAAAGATGCAAACATTTAAATATCCAAAGATTCGAACACTCGATGATTCAAAGATTCGGACACTTGCAAATTTAAAAGATTCAAATATTTGAATATGTTCGAAAGGATTCGAAGACTCGAAAATTTGTGGACCCAGAGACTTGAGTATCTGAATATTCAGAGATACAAAGATTCGAAGACTCAAAGATTCAAACATTTGAATATCCATAGATTCGATGACTCGAAAATTTAGAAATTCAGAAACTCGAGTATCTATAATACACAAATATCCAGAGATCCAAAGATTCGAATGCTCGATAATTCAAAGAGTTGACCACTTGGAGACTCATAGATCCAAACATTTGAATATCCATAGATTCGATGACCGAAAAATTTAGAAAGTCAGAAACTCAAGTATCTATAATACACAAATATCTAGAGATCCAAAGATTCGAATGCTCGATAATTCAAAGAATTGACCACTTGGAGACTCATAGGTCCAAACATTTGAATATCCATAGATTCGATGACCGAAAAATTTAGAAATTCAGAAACTCGAGTATCTATAATACACAAATATCCAGAGATCCAAAGATTCGAAAGCTCGATAATTCAAAGATTTGACCACTTGGAGACTCATAGATCCAAACATTTGAATATCCAATGATATTCGAGCACTCAAAAAATTCAAAGATTCGAATGATTCGGAAACACCGGAGAAAATTCAAATTAATCGACGAACTTTATCGACTACCTACCAACTTATGTCGTCTGCTTGCTCGTATACAGTTTACCGCACGTACAATCAATTGCGTTGCAATAAAAATTGCCCGGAATAACAGTCAGCAAGAGTCAGCGAGGGTTCCACGAACGCGCACAAACACTAGAGCCCCGATCGGGGCGCGAAAAGAGTTTCGTAATACGATCGTGCGACGATGTTACAGAATATTACTGATTGTATCGGTCGGTGAATTTATTGGATACGCCGCGCGGTGGAAATTTATGCGACGGAATTCAATTTACATTTATGACGGGGCTGACCGCGTCGCGGTTGCGGCAACCTGCGCCCGCAACGAATAAACAAGCAGCTCTTTACAATCTCTTGGACGTCGTTGCTCGTCAACGTGAAACCCGTTGCTCGTCAACCCGTTCACCGTACAAAATAATTCACACCTATTCGAGTACGAAGACTCGGCCTATGGAGAAACGTGACCGTGCTCTCAACAAAGATTTTTCACGCGAAATTTCATCTCGCGAGAAGAGATATTTCACCAGGGAGGGAGGAGACAAAATGTCAGCATCATCGTGAGCACCTTTGTTTCGTAATTTCGGCTGACGGATGGCAGATGACAGATGTACGGTTTATTTGCGCATCTCTCGTTGATCACGATTTTAGAGACGCGAGATTGATGGTTAAAAAGCACCGCGAAAGTCTTAAAATAAACTTGAAATTTATTACGACAGAGTTAGAACACGTTAGAATTTGTAATATTTTGGCTACGCTTTCTCTAACTCGCGCTCGTTAGAACGCGTGAATTTGCGGGAACATCCGCGAGGTTTTATTTTCTGTTCAATTAATGGTTATTCAAGTTTGCTTAATTAATTTTTCGTAACTAACACTCACGGCGACTATTAAAAATTAGAAACTATTGAAAAAGAAAAATATTCATGTTATATTAATAGCATTCGGGTATAATTAAATTTCGCGTCGTTTTCGATGTAACGGCACGTTTATATAATCGTGAAAATTTTATACTGTGAAAATGAAACGCGGAGTTTCCATAAAAGGAACGGCTCGGCGGAAGTGAATTTCTGTAGCCGCAGTATGTTTTTAAATGTTATTGATCGTCGATAAATTAAAAAAAAAGAAAAAAATGATACGCGTTGATAGATACTCATTGGCGAATATTATGCTTCTTTGAATCGTATAAATGGTCCTTGAAATTGTTAGTTTCGTTTAAGATAGGTCTGTATGCGAGATCAATTAGCCGTTCAAGGCTACCGGACAATGATCACTCCGCGTGTTTTCTACTTGTAAAATGACGAAGGACAATATAAATGGAAATGTAATTGTTGCAACTGTAGTGCAACAGACAAGACTATAGAACGATTTTAATATTTATGGATACACTAAGTACTTTTAATTAGTTTTTATTGGAGGAGGTGCCGGGAAGAGTTTCTAAAGAAATTTCCATAGAATAATGGTTGTCGTCGTCGACATAAATTCCTGCGGCTTTTTCCATCGTTTTCACACACCGCGAGAGAGAGAGAGAGAGAGTGATCGTGCAGCCGCATCTAATTATTCGTGCTCACGTACTTTCAGTCATAAAATCACAAACGACCGGCGATTCGAGAAAATAATAGGACCAATTTCTTTTTCTCTGTCAAAAATGTTGCCTGTCACGTTCAATTGTGTTCACATTTATTATTTTATTTATTGATCAAACTATCAAGAACTATTAAGAACAATGTTATACAATGTTGTATGAAACCATACAGTGTTGTATTATTATTATTAATAATTTATTTAGTTTAGACAGTTGAACTATTATAGGATTATAGTATATAATAGTATAGTATATACTATAATAGTATAGTATATACTATAATTATATACTATAATAGTATAGTATATACTATAATAGTATAGTATATACTATAATAGTATAGTATATACTATAATTAGTACTAGTATAATAGTATATAATACTATTATAGTATAGTATATAGTATACTATACTATTATATTATAGTATAGTATACTATAGTATAGTATATAATATAATATAGTATAGTATAGTATATAATATAGTATATACTATAATATAGTATAGTATATAATAGTACTAATTATAGTATATACTATATATGTGTACATAATAGTACAATAGTATATACTATAATAGTATAGTGTAGTGTACTATTATTCACCATTAATACTAATTATAGTATAGCAGTATATAATAGTGTAGTATACTATTATATACTAATTATAGTACAACAGTATATAATAGTATAGTATTATACTATTATATATTATAGTACAAGCTATCATAATAATCTATTTAGTTTAGATAGTTGAACTATCGATAAAACTGAAACTATAAACAATATTTCATTTTGCGATATTTTCAGTCAGTTTACGTTGTGCAATTTCTTCTTTTCTCTTCTTTTCTTTTCTTCAGTGACGTTATTATAGAAAAAAGAAATCGATAGACTTTTTTTCAGTGTCCCATCTATCTACATCTCATTTTCACAATTATCGAGTTTCATAAAGATCCAGCGTGTTCGTCATTTAGATAAATAAGTTCGTGCTCTGAATAATGAAAAATAAAAATAAATTTAAAGATAGAAATAGAAATAAAAATAAAGAAATAAACTCGTGTTTCTTGGAGAATACTGTTGCTTCCAAAATTTGTAGACTCTAAAGACATACTCTATAGACGTCCATTGAAAGACATAATCGTCGCGTCTTGAGACTGTCTCGTCTGAGCTAGCCTCATTGTTAGAAAGTCTAGGAATTCTGTTAGTCTCAATCTGAATCCAAAAACTTCGCTTCTCTCGAAAGAATCTCTCCGACGATCTTCCGAAATAACATGCAGGTTTGTGAGGGATGCTGATACTTGGAGGGATAAAGTGATAATAATTGATCAAGTTTGCGCGGCGGAGGAGCGTTGGGGGCGGCGGTATGGCAGGTTGACCGGTTATAGCTGTGTCGGGCAGCGGCGCTTGTTGAACTATGGAAACCGTTTCAGCCGGCTCGGCCTACTTAGGCCACCTTGGTATTTTTAGCATTAGGGTCACACCGTCGTACGCTCGGCTATCGTGCTGCACACACCATCCTGCCTGTCTTCCTTCCCTTGCCGTTTCAAAACCGTAGTCCGTCTCTTCTCTTCTCTTCTCTCCACTCCTCTTTTCTTCTCTTCTCTTCTCTTCTCTTCTCTTCTCTTCTCTTCTCTTCTCTTCGCTTCTCTTCTCTTCGCTTCGCTTCGCTTCGTCGTGCGTCACCCTCGAGCGTGGGCGATACAACCGCAGAGCCCCAATACCAGAGGAAAACACTTGGCCCGCTCGGGGACGAAGAGGAACGCGCGCGCGTGTCGTTCAACCTACCAGGAGATTCTGTCTAACCCGAGGATGAAAGTTATTGGATAATTGGACGCGAGACGTCGCGTGTTTCTGCCCCGTAAATTTAAACCCTCTTGCAGACTTTTTCCTTTTCTTTCTTTCTTTCTCTCTCTATCTCTCTCTTTTTTTTTGCAGTTACCACGGAGGAGAGAGTTTGCATGCTAGCGAGGTATAGGTATAGTTTGTGGAAAGAGTTGTTGCACGTTGCTCGGAAATGACGTAATCGGCCAGAGATAGATCAGTCGTCGGGACGTTTTCGAACTTCGGAATTTCGCAGTTTCTTTTCAATTTTCTTAGTCTCCTTTTTTTATTTTACTTTAGAGCTGTTAGAGTCGTGCTCCGGGGCTTTCAGACGTTCAAATTTCGAAAATTTTCTGACGAACTGGACGAATTTTCCAAGTTTTTCTAAATTCTTAATCTCAAGAATTTTCAATTTCCTAAATTCTTAGTCTCCTTTTT